CTACATCGAGATTTTGCAGCAAACCCCGCATGTTCAATACAACTGTACGTTAATATATATGTAAAGAATATCGTTCAACAGAGGGGAAAATATCTATACCATATTGCCGTTTTTTAATACGAGCTGGGTAAGAAGAAAATTTTCTATATAAAATCACATTGTTATAACTCAATTATAAAATCGATTGGAAGTTTAAAAAAAAAACCCTCAACACTATCAATATTTTAACACAACACCTCTGTCTGTCCCACTGAATATTCAATCGGAATAAAAATCCTCATACTATCTTGAATACTAATGAAATAAGCATAAACAAACGGACTCTTACAGCTTCTTGTAAGCTCGGAGAGCAAGTCTCGTTGTCCTTGTTATTCGAAGGGAGTCGAAACTCGTGCATCATCCAATCAGTCTTCGTCCCTTTTCCCGCGCTTCCTCTGTAATATACCAAAGACTTCTTGAGCCCAATGCAGTCATCGGAGCCGGAGGCTGAGTGTATGGGCCTGTCGATGCCCGTGGCCTTCCAGAATCCGGAGCCGGTGACTCTGTTGGGTCTTATGCTGTTTCTGTACTTCCTTCCCCTCAAACAAAAGAAATACCATTCTTTTTCTCCATTGACGGTGCTGACCTCTGTTTGATCATTACATATGCAATGGTATTTAAATTACTTCTGTCAGATATGAGGTATTCAAATTTGAAAACACATGAAAATTTTTAAATTTTTTTTTTCAATTTATTAATGTATGAATGTTGATGAGTAAATTAACCAGGGATCATATACAGTTCGGGGTGCTGACTCGTGGGCAGCTGGCGTGGAATACATTGAACTATTGTAGTTCAGAGCAATAAATGCAATACATCAGGGACACGACCCATTTTACTAAATTTTGATATGTATATATATAGTAGGTTGCTTATTAGTTTTGTTAAGTTTTAGTTTAATGGAACACAAGCTGAAGAGATTTGTCCACTGAATCCCTACCATGCACAATACTAGCTTGCATGGGTGCAAAACTCAAGGTGGTCAGTACCCTTTGCAAAGACATGAAACCCGTTTGAGAGAAGAAATCATCATAATCAATTCCTAAAGTATTAAACATACCTTAATTATAATATCAAAATTAAGAATTGTGCACTAATTAAGTAGTACCGAAGGCACAACTCACTTGGAAGATCCCACGGGTCATATTTGTAAATATCAATCTGCTTGATGATCTCTATTGTCATGGGCCTGTTGTCCACCTTCCGCCGGAGATAAAACCCGACGAGCTCTTCGTCGGTCGGATGAAACCGGAACCCCGGAAGCACCTCCTCCTCATCCTCCACCACCAATTCCACCTCCACCTTCCCTTCACTCTTCTTCTCCAAACTAGCAATTTTCTTCTCCATAGTATCTCCTTTCAGTGCTCTAGATAATTTTGTTCGTGTGTAGATAAGTTGCTACATGTAGGAGAGGTCTTAGGCTGAGTCTCTTGGCTTTATATAAGTGTGAAGTGGTTCGTGTCGTGGTCATCAAAGGTGGTTTGTTTTGGTCCAAGTCTTAAATTTTGATCGCTCTCTCTTTCTATCTCATCATAAATCTTTACCAAAGACTTGTTCCAACTTAGGGGAAAGAAATAGCGAAGTTGTGGCACGCTAGAAACACGTGATGTCGGATGCTTTGAAATGTGGGAGCGCATGGCACTGACAAGTCATCACAGTGGGAGGATCAAGTTTGACTAAATTAGGACGATGCTAGCCGTCGGATCTTTTTGCTCACCCAACCGGTTTTAGCAATCTTAAGGAACACGTGTCCAGAGGTTGGGGCTTAGCAAAGAGGTTGAATCTTCCGCTCTTTCCTTTCTAAGAGGTGGCAAGCTTTCTCATTTTGGTTCACTAGAAGAGTTTGGTCTCTCTAGCCGCTTAATTTGAGGGCCACAAGCTTAAGCCTTTTTGGGTTTCATACTTTCATAGTAGAAATGATACTACATTCGGAATGATTTATATTGTTTTTTCTTTGGACTATTTGTTTTGTCGTAACGGCAAATGCAACAAATGTTGCATATAGAACTTTTTGCAAGAAATTTGTTGAAATATTCATATATGAGTATAGTCTCATATTAGAAAGGGTGATATAAAGTGATGAGTTTAAAAAGGTGTTGAGAATAATACTTAATAGCCTAATCTCCGGGGTTAAAATTGATTCCTATCCTTTATTTAAGGCTCATTAACTCTAAATCGGGCTCAATTTCTTCCTAACAAAATTGAATTTGGATCCTCTCCACTACAAAAGAGTAGTGAAGAGACCACTACTTTAAATCTTAAACGTTGATTATTTAATGGGTGATTATGATACATTCTAAATCTATGGTTGTAATTAAATAGTTGTCCCTTAACTACATATTTGATAGTGGAGAGGATTCGAATCCAAAGACATTAACCTCAAATTTGCCATTTGAATTTCTTCATTTTTATTGTAGAATGAATTTTATTTCCAGATCAAAATTAGTTTTCTGATAGTCGTAAAAAAAAGTTTCCAATACGAATGAAGTATTTTTTTTGTCAAAATTTGTATATCAATCTATATTTTCTGATTTGCTTCAACTAACTTGATGATGTGATATTCACTTTAATTTTTCAGTTAATAAAAGAGTTTGTGATATTTGTTGCAATCAAATTGGCTACAACAATTGCTGCAACTTTTTGCTATAAAATATAAATCCAAATGTCTTTCGAAGTACTATTTCTTTCAGAACCAATCACATGTGACCAGCCGATCTGAGCCCTACGTGGGATTAACAGGGGGCAAAATAGGGTAAAATTGATATTTTGCGCCCAAGTGTATGGCTAATTAGACCGACCGCATGCGAGCGGTCGGTTCTGAGATGATGTGCAATCTACCTGTTTCTAACTCAACCTGTTGTATTCTAACAATTCACATTGTTTGACAATGTCCAACTACATGCTACACAGTTACAATCCTATTTTTAGGTATCATGGACTAGGTGTTTGTCATCTAGCTAGAACATATTGTGCGCGGAAGCCACCAATCGTTGTGCTTCGAGGAATCAAACACAAACGTCGAGAGAAAAAGCCAAACAATACAAAATAACGACACAAATACAAACAACTAATTTTTTACGTGGTTCGGCAAGTTACCTACGTCCACGGGACAAGAAGGGGATGAGTTTTCATTAATAGAGAATGAGAGTACAAACTGGGATTACAAATCACTCAAAACAAACCAACTAATCTCACCAACAAACTATCAATCTCTCAAACAATAACACTAACCAATAGCCCAGGAAGATCTCTTTTTTCTGTGCTCCAATAACCCTAAAAACAATCCCAAAGAAACCCTAAAACGTGTGTTGGTATTTATACCAAACACAAATTCCAAACAGAATAGGAAACCAAAACAGACTCGAACCCGACTCACGGTTGACCGCACTTGACGCCGTGGTCGACCAAACAGAATGATAGAAACCACGTAAATCAATTACAGGGTCTGCGATCGACCCACTTGACGCCGGGGTCGACCGACCAGAAATCAAAAATCACCCTGTAGTCGTGCCCATTTGCGGTCGGCTGTGCCAAAGCTCGCGGTCGACCGGAAAGCACCCAAATGCATGTTTGTATTAAATTTCCTGATCTTCTTTAATGTTTTCGCCGTTTCTATAATTCTCCACATCGGCAAAGTTTTCCCAAAACTGAGCTGACACCAACCAAACCAAATGTCCCGCTTATTACGTCCAGTACGAAGTGAAACAAATTCACGACAACAGACTCAATCCACAACAAGTCGAGAACCCAAATGAGAATGCGAACAAACTCCAAATGTCAGTATCAATTCACCAAACCGGCTGCATCATAAATGACTGCCTATGTATCCTCTTGTCTAAGAAATCAAGCATTCACGTAGTTTACCCAAATTGCCTCCAAAGGCCCTCAATCTAATAGAAGAGTTCTCAACTCTTCACTAACAAATCTGCGACTGATAGCTTTGCCAATGGCTCCAAAGTGAAACAAACCAAACACCTCCACCTGATGTGAACCAATGGCCATATCTAAATCCAAACTATGTCCATCAGCTGCACTCGAATCAACCAACTCGTCATCTACATCCACATCAATATGATCCCCAAACTATGTCACCTCATCTGGAATCCTAAATAATACATAATGATCTAGAGTACGTGGAGTAATCTCCACCCAATGTGGAGTAGCATCACCCTCCACCCGCTACGATATCCCAACGACCTAATCAACACTCTCCACCCGCCGAGAGTCAAAAGTGACATACCTGCTTAGAAAAAATCAAAGTCTCCCAACTGATAACCAAACGAGCATCTGAATCCCAAATGTGTAATCAGATCGAATCTCACATCCTTGATATGATCATACGTTTGGCAAGCAAACATCCGACGCAACCCAAAATCTGTAGCAGCTCCACCAGATCTAAAATCTCCAAATGCAGCAGTCTGCAACCTATGACTAAGATGACCCAAATATGTCAAAGCCCGAACACCAAAACCAATGCTCGACATCAAACGTCGATCCTCCTCCAGTAAGGAACAATCCATCAAAACTGTCATCTCATCTCGTCGCCCTAATGTTTACTCTCTAATGAAGTGTCTCAAACTGCCATGAGCTAGGCACAAATACAGAAAAGGATCCCTACCAAAATCAGAACGACGAGTTATCTTTCTGCCAATACACTTCCTCTATCCGTCGTTGACTTCTAAGACTTCACACTAACGGGACTTGGTTGCAACCCACCAATGCCTAGAACAGTCCCCAACTACAGAAACCAAATACCGATTACCTCCCAATGATGCCTCCTTGAAATGCCCCCAAATGCCTGAATGATCACCACCTAAAAGACCCTTTGATCGATGGATAGAAGTACTAAACTCTACCTCGGTCTTCTTGCTCATACCAAAATACTCACTGAACTTCAAACTGCAGGTCAAAGTACCTCTCCTTAAACCAAAATTATTCGTGCCATTAAACTTCTCCACATCTATCTTCATAGAGTGAATACTCAAACTTTGGACAGTCTTCATGCTAGAAGTATCCTCCATAACTCCTTCTTTATCGGCCATCTTTCTCAAAACACCAACAAACCAATGCGGAACAAACTGAAAGAAAATAGATCCAAACTACGAGAAAGGTAGATTTTTATCTCCAACTGAAGCCCTAATAAGAGCAACCTCATCTTTATCACCAACTGAAACGCTAGACGAGCTTCCAAAACGATCTACTCCTCCACCAATCTCCAAGCATAGTCAAATTAAGCTCTGATACCACTTGTTGTGCGCGTAAGCCACCAATCGTTATGCTTTGAGGAACCAAACACAAACGCCGAGAGAGAAATGATGCAAAATAACACCACAAACACAAACAATAAATTTTTACATGGTTCGGTAAGTTTCCTATATCCACGAGGCAAGAAGGGGATGCGTTTTCACTAATAGAGAAGGAGAGTACAAACTAAGATTACAAATCACTCAAAACAAACCAACTAATCTCACCAACAAACTCTCAATCTCTCAAACAATAACCCTAACCAATAGCTTAGGAAGATCTCTCTTTTCTATGCTCCAATAACCCCAAAAACAATCCCAAAGAAACCCTAAAATATTGTTGGTATTTATATCAAATATAAATCTCAAACAGAATAGGAAACCAAAACAGACCCGAACCCGACTCACGGTCGACTGCACTTGACACCGCGGTCGACCTGACAGAACGACAAAAACCACGTAAATCGATTACAGGGTCCGCGGTCGACCGCACTTGATGCCGCAGTCGGCCGGCTAGAAATCCAAAAATCACCCTGTAGTCGTGTACGTTTGTGGTCGACCGCGCCAAAACTCGCGGTCGACCGGCAAGCACCCAAATACTTGTCTGCATCAAATTTCTTGATCTTCACATGCAATATTTGTCAAAACGCATATCATAATCTAAGTGCAGATCAAGTTATTTGTACTTGGATACATTATTTCGAGCCCTACTTGTCTTTAGTAACTAAGAAAGGTTATTCTTGGATTAAAAAAAAGTTACATACATGGTATTGAATAGTTTTGAATCATTCGTGTTTGAAAGAAAACTAAATTTCAAGGAGTATACATAAATAAATTTTGAAGAATCATGTGTAGAAAACCATAAAACCTTTTCTTTTAATTCGTAAGCATAAGTTAGCATTGACAATGAAAAATCTTCTAGAGATATATATAGTTTTTTCCTCTTTACTATGGTTTTCATTACTTAATTTGTTCATTCATATATATACTATCAACTCAATCCTATTACCCTTAAATTGTACATCATGTTTAAGTCCGTGTTTAAACTAATGAACAAAATGGATTATTGTTTAAAGAAAAAAATTATTATAGTAAATTAAAGTT